GCCGAAGCGGAATATGTGGCTATGGGTAGTTGTGTTGCTCAAATTTTATGGATGATGCAAACACTAAGTGACTTTAACTTAAAATTTTCAAAAGTGCCTATTTTTTGTGATAACTCAAGTGCAATAAATATTTCCAAAAATCCTGTTTTGCATTCTAGAACTAAACATATAGAAATAAGACATCATTTCATACGTGATCATGTTTCAAAATGAGATATTCAAATTGAATATGTAAATACGCTTGAACAACGTGCCGACATTTTTACAAAACCATTGGATGAAAAACAATTTTTACATATTTGTCGGGAAATGGGAATGCTTGAATTAAAGTGACATTTAAGGTTCTTATTCTCCCATTATGTCATAAAAATAAATTGATCAAGTAAAAATGCTCAAAACACGCGTCTAGAGGTCGAAACAAAACTTTTGGCTAAGGCACGGTACCCCTAACGGTACCCTGGTCCCGTCCAAAATAGGTGCCGCCAGAAACAAATGGGATTTCGGAAGCTACACAGTACCTGGACACGGTATGCCATACCGTATACACGGTACCAAGATACCGTTCAAACGGTACTCAGGTACCGACCGTCGCGACGAGTCAAATTTTTTTTTAAGACCCTAGACCAGCAACGTTTCGACATCAGTTGCAGCGACCTCTCTCCCGGCGTATCCTCCCGTTTCTCTCTCCCGTACCTCGTTTGTCTCTCCAAAGGTAAATCCTCTTACAAATTCTACAAATTCTTCAAACATTAGGTTCAATTTCATCAAATAATCTCCGCAAATTCGTGCATTAGGTATAAATTTCCCCATTTTTTCGTCAACTTTTACCTATTTTCTCAAAATCTCCAAAATGAGTGAAATTGTGTCAAGTGTTCCAATCAATGCTCAACCCGATGTTCAAGATGGGTTCAAGGCTTACGCCAACCCACACATCATTGAGGGGAGAACCCTTAAACAAGATGACATCCCGGTTCCCGTTCTTGAACTTATTCAAGAACAAGGTTGGAGTTTCTTTCTTCAACTCCAAGCCCCCGTTTACCCGGACCTCGTTCATCAATTCTATTCTCCTATGAAATACTATCCCGAAGACCCTTCCATTACAGCCGTAGTTGCTGGAAAAATCTTCGGATTCAACACCCAAAACCTTTCTGAATTGTTTCACCTAGAGCGTGAAGGAGTCTCCACCTATTGCAAAAAGGGGTGGATTACCGACCCACGAGACTTTAACTCCGATTCTTGCCTCCGAGTGCTAAACAACATTGCCCTTAACCATGTCTTTGAAGACCCGAACTACTTCCTTCGTAGGCCAAATGTCCAAGACTTACCCGCAAATAAGTTCATCCTTCTCAAAATCCTCAAAGAAAATGTCATCCCGGTCCTTAACAAAGATAAACAAGTTGGAGTTTATGAATGCACTCTTCTATATTGGCTCCTCACTTACAAGAAAATCAATCTCCCTTCCATCATCCTAAAACACATGTACGAATGCTCCGGTCGCCAAAACAAACCCTATGGCATGCTTCTTACCCACATCTTTGCCAAGAGGGAAATTCTTGAGGTGCGCCATTCTCGTGTCCGCTATCTTGATGCGGAGTGCCTTGGCTATTGTGGCCTTGTGAATATTGGAGAAGAGTACTACATGAAGAAGGAGTTTCAAAATCTTGATGAGGCTACACGAGCAGAGTATGGCCCTCGACGATCCTTGTCTTCTGTGCCATCTACTTCACGAGCACCCCGGGCCGACGTCGAAGAAAATACCAACACGGATGTCCCCGTTCGTGCTCAAAGTCGGCGTCTCATGCTTCTTCGGCCTCTCTCTTGCACCGTCACTCTCAAATGGCTTCCACTTCCAAAAACCCCTTCAAGAAGTTCAAGAAATTCATCCTCAAGATCGTAGTGGCTCCGATGAAGAAAATTCAAGAAAGCCTTGATGACCTCTCGGATCGGATGAAGAAGATGGAGGACCGTGAGAATCGCCAAAAGCAAAATGAGGATCGTGCTTCTAGACGTCGTCGCTAAGTAATGAGCATTTGACAAAATGATCAAACATTCACTTATCTATGTTTTTTTAAAAATTATTATGTATTTTGTTTTATGTTTCAAACTCCTATCATGTCTCATGTTTAAAACTCGTACTTATGCACTTTTATGATTGTTAACCCCTTTATGATTATGCTTATGGTTCACTTGAATGCCTATAATTGTCGCCATAATGAATGCCATTGTGTTGAACCTCGTGTTTTTGGTACCCCGCCTTTTTGAATGTTGCCAAAAGGGGGAGAAATATTAGGCTTTCATATGCATCAATTTAGGGGGAGTTTTTATCAAAATATCACGTGCATCAACTTAGGTGGAGTTTTAAAATCAATATATGCTTTTCACGATATGTTTGTGCGTTTGATTATTATATTCGAAAGCCTTATTTGTCAACATCAAAAAGGGGGAGATTGTTGGCCTTGAATGCCGTACCCCGTAACCGTTTTGATGTGCCAAATAAGTCTTCGAAATGTTACTAACATCATTTGCAGGAAAAACAAACGCCAAAACCTCTATTAGCTTGTTTAGCATCACCGAGATATACTCCTACGAGTTTAGAAATTGTTGTGTAAAGGTAATGATATATTTTAATGAGTTAATTATGCCCTTTCACTCAAAATTTAATTTTAAAATGACAAATATATTCTTAGTTGGGGTTATTTTGAAAACGGAACACGAAAAACGAGTTTTGGAATTTTTACACATGCCTAACGGTACCTTTCTACCGTATACACAGCACCAGGGTACCGTCGGTAGCCTAGTGAACGTACCGGGAACGTTTCACTCAGGAGGTACACGGTACCCCCCCTACCGTGAGACGGTACCTCGATACCGTACGGTAGGCTGAACCGGCTGGGTACCTCGTCCTAACCAGGTACCGCCAGTAGCGAACCTAACTTTTGGCCAACACGGTACCACCAAACGGTAGGCTGTACCGTGTGTCACGGTACCTAGGTACCGGACGGTACTGGACCTACCGTGAAGGGTACCGGATCCATTGGCAGCACTGTAGCAAATTGCCAATTTAAATTCAAATCACCCCTAATCACTCTCTAACGGCATTTAACGTTAAAAACTCAAATTTTAACATTCCAAACTCCTATATAAACCCCTCTAAGTCTCATTTTATAAAACAACAACTTCCCAATTAATTCTAAAGCCTCTTTCTCTATTCTTGAGTGTTCTTAAAGCTTTTGTTGTTGTTGATTTAATCTTTTGTTCTTCTCCTACCCAAGTTACATTTGTTATCATTTTGGTAGAGAAGCAACACCAACTTTTTTAATTAGTAAAAGGTGTGGATAGCCTCTAAATCCTCATTGTAAGGTTGAAGATAGCCTTAAAATCTTCGGTTGTAAACGGTTGAGATAGCCGTAGTAAAATCTCATTTGCTTATTGGCAAGGGTTGTTTGCCAAACCTCATTTGAGTCTTCTTATTGAAGCCAAACAAGTTAAGTGGAGGTTAAATCCTTGAGGAGGAGCCTCGAGGTACTGGAGTAGGGAGTTCCCGAACTAGTATAAAATCGCTTGTGTCGTATTTTTATCCTTTATATCTTTCTTGCTCTTTTTCCGCATAAGTTTTTGTTTTTACGAAAAATTTGCAAACACCCTAATTCACCCCCCTCTTAGGGTGTAAACCGACTTTCAAAGGCCAATGAGAAGATATTTTTATTCGCTTGAATAATCACTAATTTCTTCGCAATGTAATGTAACTTAATTTGTGTTCTTATTATTCAAATCTTATTATATTAATGTAATTTTTTATTGAATGTAATTTTGAATTGTTGTCGTTTAAATTCAATTAAATAATGAAATCTTATTAATTTAATTTTAGAATACGTGTATTAAAAATATACAAAATAGAGGTTTCAAGCCCCAGTTTGAAGCCCCGGGGCTTCAAACGCATTTCCAGTGAAGGTGTAAGTTAAAGCTGATGTGGTAAAAAGAGAAGGTTTGAAGCCTCAGAACTTCATCACGACAATTTCTAGTGCTCTAAGAAGACAAGGGATGCACGAAAAATAACAGTGTGATTTCGAACAATCGAAGATGGATGCACAAGGAAGTAAGCTCTAGTCTTTGTCTCTAATATGTGATTAAATCTTAATTTACTTTCTCTTAATTAAGTGATCGTCTGACCAATTTAAAAGAAACCTGTAGAAAATGGATTCATGTAACGACCTAAAAACCGGTTTAGTGGCTAGCCGTTAATCTGTTATTTTAAAAAAATGAATATAATATTTTCTGAATAAAAAATATGAATTATTTGTAAGGTTGACCACTCTATTTCAAATTGAACTCGTTGGGTAGATATCGTAAAAGAATGACCAAAATATATGTAACTCGTTAAGTTTGGATCCTTGTGTAATAAGTTATGTATAAAATAAATATTATAATACAACAAAAATTAATTTTTGGTTTTATGTAAAAAATCAAACCAAAAAAACCGAATTGAACTCTACATATTGTTATTGCTTCATCGGACTGGTGTTTTTACAACTTTTTAATGCTTATAAATTTTACTTTTAAAAACCGAAAAACTGCAAAAAAAACCGAAATAAAAATCGTATAAAACCGAACCAAATAACCAACGATTTATATATTTTTTATGCGAAACCAAACAGAAGCGTCAAATTACCTTCTGTTAAACCAAACGCACCCCTACCGGAAGCGGTCGTAGTGCACCATGACGCCGAGCCTGCCAGGCAAACCCCTAGCGAGGAGGACGTTACGGGCACTTCTCAGCCCTTTCGTCACCAGCTCCTCACGATAGCCCGAAAATTAAAATTAAAAGAATAAGTCTTAAAATGAAATAGTAAAAAAGAAAAGAATAAAACCTAAAAGTAAAATATAATTAAGTTATAGGTTTAAAAAGAAAAGTAGTATATGGAGCAATATATTCTCTCTCATTCGAAAGATGTTACACTTTCTTCTTGTGCATATCAAAAAATCGGTTTTATAATTCTCCGTTTTCTTTTTTGAAATGGGTACACCATTCATTTTGTTTCTTCAAATAATATAAAACTATCCACATATTTTCTCATTTCAAATTTTCAATATTTTACTCTATTTTCTCGGTACAAAAAGTCACATCACTACAAAAAATACGCGACATTGGCACGGCCGTTGGCACGGACTGTAGTATTGAATTTCCGTGACTTTGGATTTTGGCACGGAGAGCAGAGCTGCCAATTACGGGGCTCCAAAACATTTGGCATGGAAATGTATCCGTGCCAAAGCTTTGGCACGGATTTTAGCACGGACACTCTGTGCCAACCTAACGCCACTGACAATGTAACGTTTAAGTTATTGGCACGCCGTAGCCGTGACAACCGTCCGTGCCTAGTTTAGCACGTTGTAACGATATTTTCCGTGCAAAAGATTTTTTGAAATTTAAAAATTGAAAGAGGCGCCAATACTTGAAATTCGAAATAATATGCTTACCATCTTTTTCACATGCTCCCTGACTGAGCGACGACCACCGTAGTATTGCCTCTGTTTAGCCTTCTCAGTGTTCCTGTTCTTGCTCGACTTCTCGCTCTTAGCTCTAAACTCAGGAGATGCCCATTACAACCTCAGAGACTGCGGGGTAGTCCCTGTGGATGGGGACTCTGGAGGGGCTCGAGACTCATTTGTGTTGCGGAAGCTTCCTCTCTCCCGAATGCTTCCGCGGAAGCTTGTACTCCTTGTAGAAGACATTTAAAAGGTGATTGAAGTACTGGGAAAAAAGTGTGGTTGACGCTTGCCGGCGACCGAAGTATTTTTGGGCGAAGGAGGAGGGTTTTTTGGATGATGGTGTTGGTTGGAGGAGGAGGGTTTTTTGGACGGCTAGAGGAACAAAGGAGAAACAAATGGTGATAAGGGGTTTATATATGTTCCTTATACGAACGGCTGTAGGCACGGGCACGGCGTGCCAAAAGTTAATATCATTTAATTCGGTTGTCAGAAGGATGTAGTGGACTGGCAGGGATTTGTAAAGGCACGGTGTTAGGCACGAATCTGCCGTGCCATTGCCAAATTGCAATCATTCTACTGCCAATACCTATATATGTGTACTCCTCCCTATATGAATTAAATTTTACTCAAAATAAGGTATTTTCTCGTGATTTTTTAATTCATCTTATTTGAATATTTGTATAGAAATAAAAAATAGATAAAGTAATTGTGATTTAATTCGAATAGCATTTTATTTTATCAAATACACCTAATGAAAAATTGATAAATAAAAAAAGTTCTCTTGATTTTTTTGAATAATGAAAGAAGGGAGTATTTAAAAATCTAAATTTCAACTCCTTCCATTCTCAAAAACACTTCCTCCTTCATTTCATCTACTTCCAGCAAAACACTTCCTCTTTCTATTATAAACCAATTTTACTCTTACTTTTTCATATTCTACCCATCACGTCATACTTTTTCTTTAATAATATATCCATTACATCTTACTTTTACTCATCACATTAGAGGTAAAAATAGAAATCAACTACAATTTAATACTTCCTTATTTTTACCCTAAATCAAAATGGGAAGTCTTTTTGCAAACGGATGAAGTATTATATTATTTGCGAGTAGTACTAGATTAAAAAAATTGTAACCATACGTCATTAAGCATACATCAAATAAAAAAGAACAACACATTGTGGATAATGACATCATCAAATAGTACAATTTACATCATTCACTTTCATAGTCATCCTCAACATAAACTTCTTCTTCTTCGGTATCTTCACCGGAAATCCATTCATCTTCTTCCAAGTCATTAAGTG